CACCAGGCTGTTTTGACCACCGTGGCAGTATAATAGGTTCTAAGATCAAGTAACGTGAAGCCTCCCACTTTGTTCTTCTTCAGTAATGCTTTACTTATCCGAGGCCTCTTCCCTTTCCATATGAAGTTGGTGATTTGTTTCTCCATCTCTTTAAAAAATGCTGTTGGAATTTGGATCAGGATTGCATTGTATCTGTAGATCACTTTGGGTAGAATCGACATTTTCGTAATGTTGAGTGTTCCTATCCATGAGCAAGGTATGTTTTTCCACTTATGCAGGTCTGTTTTGGCTTCTTGCAGTAGTGTCTTGTAGTTTTCATTGTATAGGTCTTTTACATCTCTGGTTAGATTTATTCCTAAGTATTTTATCTTCTTAGGGACTACTATAAATGGTATTGATTTGGTGATTTCCTCTTCAAAGTTCTCTTTGTTGGTGTAGAGGAATCCAACTGATTTTTGTATGTTTATCTTGTATCCTGATACTTTACTGAAATCTTCTACTGGTTCCAGTAGTTTTCTTTTGGATTCTTTGAGGTTTTCTGTGTGTAAGATCATATCATCTGCAAATAGAGATACTTTTACTTCTTCCTTACCAGTTTGGATGCCCTTTATTTCTTTTTCTATCCTAATTTCTCTGGCTAGGACCTTTAGCACAATGTTGAATAAGGGTGGTGATAAACGCATCCTTGTCAGAACAACACTTCTCAGGGTCCCCATGACTTCCATGATACCAAAGCTAGTGGGCAGTTCTCAGTCCTTATTTTGTTGAACTTCTCAACAGCAGAGGATACAGTTGACCACTTCTTTCTTTTGAAGACCTTCTTTTGTACGTGGGACGCCACTTGCTCTTTGTTTTCCTTCTCTTCTGTAGCCTCTTTTTCTGTCTCCCCTGCTAGACTCCTCCTTCTCTCTCAGACCTCTGTAGGTCAGCAGGCCCCAGGTTTCTTCGCCATGTACGTTCTCCCTGGGTGATCTCATCCAGTCTTCCAAAAACTGATCTTTCCAGTTTTGGCAGTAGTTGGCTGCCTACTCCATATCTCCACTTGGAAGTATGATGGACACCTTAAATGGACTATGTCCAAAACTGAACCCTTGATTTCTAGCCCCTGAACCTCTTTCTCCCTATCTCACCTTCCTTACCACTATTCACTCAGCTTACTCAGGTCAAAAAGTCTGGGAGTTGGCTGTGATGCCTTTTCTCTTGGTTCTCACCTCCAGCCTATCACCAGTCTTCCCGGCTCACCTCACCCATCCCATTCCCCCCAGGTGGAGTTTATGCCAGCTCCTTCTTGAATTTTTATAGTCTTCCCCTGAGTGGGTTTTCTTCTTCCTCTCTTGCTTGTCCCCTGCACACAGCATCCAGAATGATGCTTGTAAGACTTAGGGTAGGTGATATCAAGGTCCTACTCAAAACCCTCTAACAGTTTTCTGTCAACTTCCACCACTTGTGTCTCAGTCTTCATCTGCTGCCACACCTCCCTTCGCACACTGTCTCCAATGGCATACCCTTTCTTCTGGAACACACCTAGCTCTTCCCTGCCTCAGGGGTTTTACATTTGATATGCCTGCTGGTCCCATTGCCTGGGAAGCTCCTCCTCCAGATCTTCATGTGGCCAGCTCCTTCTCCTAGATCTTCTTTTAAATTCAGCTAATTTCTTTCAGAGCCAACCAGGACTTTGTATTAGTGTGTGCATCCCCACATCTCTTGTGTCATCACTATGTGCCTGGCACTTAAGTGTTTAATGAGCATTTGGTGAATGAGTGAATGATTAGGTCATCAGTTACTTCCAAAGACTCTATTTTATGATAGTAGTAACATTCTCTCTCTCTCTTCTTCAGGTACATTACCTGTGCTGAATACACTCACTTCTATGGTGGCAAGAAGCCAGGTAAGGCATGAAATCTTTCTACCCCCTCTGGGAGGAGGGATTAAGGAATGATCTCGAAACTGTGCAGTGAGCCTGTAAAAATTAAGAACATAGAAACTACAGTAGACAAATAGGCTGGGGACATAGTTCACAAAAGAACATATAGCTAAACGTGGGAAAATGTTTAATCTCAGTGGTAATTTTTCTTTCCTTTTTTTTTTTTATTGTACTTTAGATGAAGGTTTGCAGAGCAAAGTAGTTTCTCATTAAACAATTAATACACATACTGTTTTGTGACATTGGTTGCCAACCCCATAATATGTCAACACTCTTTCGTTCTCAACCTTGAGTTCCCCATTACCAGCTTCCTGTCCCCTCCTGCCTTCTCTTCTTTGCCTCTGGGCTCGTGTGCCCACTGAGTCTTGTTTTGTTTTATGGCCTGTGTAATCTTTGGCTGAAGAGTGAACCTCAGGCGTGACTTCAGTACTGAGTTAAAAGGGTGTCTGGGGGCAATACCCTTGGGGTTTCTCTAGTTTGTGTCAGACCAGTAACTCTGGTCTTTTTTTTGTGAGTTAGAATTTTGTTCTGCATTTTTCTCCAGCTCTGTCTATAACTCTCTGTTTTTATCCCTGTCAGAGTAGTTGGTGGTGGTACCGGGTACCATCTATCTGTGCTGGACTCCAGTCTGGTGGAAACTGTGGTAGTTGTGGTCCATTAGTCCTTTGGACTAATCTTTCTGTTGCGTCTTTGGTTTTCTTCATTCTCCCTTGCTCCGGATGGGGTGAGACCAGTGGAGTATCTTAGATGGCTACTCACAAGCTTTTAAGACCCCAGACGGTACTCACCAAAGTAGGATGTAGAACATTTTCTTTATAAACTATGTTATGCCAGTTGAGCTAGATGTTCCCCAAGACCATGGTCCCCGGCCCTCATCCCAGTAATTCGGTCCCTCAGGGAGTTTGGATATGTCTGTGAAGCTTCCGTGACCTTGCCTTGGTCAAGTTGTGCTGACTTCCCTACTATTAAGTAAGGCAGTATTAAGTATTGCCTTACTCTTCACCACAGTTATCAGTGGTAATTTTTTTATTGTAGGTTGAAGTGACATTTTTCTGTATCAGAATAATAAAGAGTAAAAATATACAAAGCTATCCAGGCTGTGGAGTCTCTGGGTGGCGTGCAAATGGTTGAGCACTTGGCTGCTAACTAAAAATTTGGAGGTTTGAATACACCCAGAGGTGCCTCAGAAGAAAGGCCAGGCAGTCTACTTCCAAAAGATCACAGCTGTTGAAACTGTGGATTAAAAATCTTTTAATAGATATAACCAAAATATACGAGGTACATCAGGAAAAAAAAAAAAAAAAAAACTCAAAGGAAAAAGCACATACTTGTTTAAGCCACCACAGCTGGGGTTCTGCCACAATCCTAATAGTCCTGCTGTTATGGGCCTTTGCTCTCCAAGAAGCCTGTGCCAGTTTTACTCATATTAGCAATCAGGACAGTGCTCTTTTTACTGCAGCCTGGATACCAGTTGCTGTTGACTCTGACTTATGGTGACCCCTTGTGTGTCATAGTAGAACTGTGTTTTCAGTGGCTGAATTTTCAGCAGTAGATTGCCCGGACTTTCTTCCAAGTCACCTCTGGGTGGACTTGAACCTCCAACCTTTTGATTAGCAGCTGAACACGTTAGCCATTTGCACCACCCAGAGACTCCAGTTTAAATGATCTTTTTCTTAGAATGTAATTGGATTGTTGGTAGGAGTGTGTAAATCAAATTTGCTTACAGAACAAATTTTTATTTTAAACAGATATCCCAAAAACAAATTTTCGTCGTTTACCTTTTGACCACTGCAGGTAAGTTTTTTTCAAAGTTGATTTTTCCCTTGTAGCTATTCTCTGATACCCAGATATTTCATAGTGCCTCTGATCCTTGGAGATCCAGATGTGAGTCCATCTGCGTCCCCCTACCCAGCTCTTCCCCAACCTGGGAGAAGGGGCAGCCAATGATGACAACCAATAACTATTTTCTGCTTATTCTAAGTTTATGTTTATAGATGTTGTCCTTTTAACTTTATTCTTATTCTCTGAGGAAGGTAGATCCTATTGTTAAGCCTGTTTTACAGTTGAGGAAACTGAAGCTTTGAGACTGAAGTCCCTCACCCAGGTGTCACACCTGAAGTGGTGCCACTGAGCCTTGAACCCAGCTGTCTGACCAGGCCCCTGCCTTTAATGCTTTACTTTTGTTCCACATTCTAAGTAATAACAGCAGCAGCAATAGTCGTGACACCTGAGCCTCTTCTCCCCTTTACCTGGGAACTCAGCTCACTGGTGGAGTGGGGAGGGACCAGATGCAAAGCCACTCGAATGCTTCTTTCCGGCCCTAATTGGTATGTGCATGAACAGAGGGAGGGTCTGTTGGAGAAGTGGGACTAGGTGAAGTAAACCCCATAACCCCAATACATTGCTCCTCCCAAGGCCAGGGGGCTTGTGGGAGTAGGCAGGTCTGGTGGTTCGATTGGGCCTGCATTTCCCCAAGCATAAGCCATGGCTTCTGTGCCCTCCAGGGTCTTCCACCTAGAGCAGGGTCTCCTGGAGGAGCATGTCTGTCCACACAGGCCCCCAGGGGTCTGATTCTGTGGGTCAGGGCATGCTCAACCAGTGTATGCCAGCAAAGCTCTCCATTCTGGCACCTGCCTCACCCTGCCAGCTACCACAGTGTGGTGAGAAAGGAGCAAAAGGGTATGCCCACAGTGCTGCAGCTGAGAACTGGGGGCCTGGCAGTCCCCCATCAGTAAGGGGGACAGGTGAGGCATAGGCACTCTTGGCTAGGGCTCTCCCCATGCATACTGGGCCTGTCTCTCAGGTTCTGTTGTCAGCCTTGTGGGAGTGTGATCTGACTCACATTGGGTAGGGGGCTTTTCAAGGATGGGCACTCTCATGCACAGCTGTGGAAATTTCATCCTTGGTTCTCAGTTCTACCAAGGGCCTCAGATCTGAGTGTAGCCCATTTTTTAACTACCTTGAAATTATGCCCTTTCAGATCATGTTTGAGAGAAGATGGCATGTGCATCATCATGATGTTTAGAGTTTTGCTTTGGTGCTGCAATCTGCTCTGGGTCAGTCACAAACAGTACCACCACCACTGCAGAAAGGCAGGTGCCCAAAGAGGGTTTCCTGGGGGCAGGAGCCTGCTTCGTTATGGTGCCAGGGCCTGGTCATAACCTGGTAGAGCCAGGGCCCCAGTGCTGTCAGGACTGGCCTGTGCTGACCAAAGTCGTAGGTGACTGATGTACATACTAGAAGCCAGGTCAGCCAGGGTTCTTGATGACTAGTGACAGAAACCTCATGCAGGATGAAAGGGTATTGGTTCCAGGAAGCACCAGGGTACAGTTTCTCTTCATCTGTTGGCTCTGCTTTTCCCTACATTGGCATCTGCACTAAACAAGGGGCTCAGTGAGGAAATCCCACTTTCATTGCTAACTGTGTGGTCAGGATCAGCATGAATCCAGTCCCCAGAGTATGGTAATGGATCCAGTCCTCACCTTGGCACTTCTCCATCCTCGTTGCCAGCTGCTCACCCGGCACACTTCTTTATTGCCCTCGGTATGTGGCCATGATAGATTACATCAGGCCCCCTAAGGCTTAGTCAGCATTGACCCCAAAGTGGTCCCTCCTTGTCTGGTCAGCCCCTATTCATTTGCCTAAGGTGTTGGTCCAGCTAGAAAGAACCGAGAACGATGGCCAAATTGCTTTCTGCAAGGTGATTCCATAGCTTGAAGCTTCATTCTTAGGCAGACCCTCTCTACAAGATGGGAAATGGCTTGGGGCAATCCAGAGCCTACACTGGCCTCTCTTAACTCATGTTCATGTGTCAGAACTCACTGAGGGCTCCTGGGAACTCACGTCCTGCCTGAGTCACATGCCTACCCCTTGGATTACCACTGTGAGCTGGTAAATGTGGGAGAGTGGTCTGGCAGTCAAGGCACCCACAGACCATAGTAGCCCACCCTCGAATCCCTTGGGGTGGGGGACGGCAGTTCTCAGAAAAGCTTGGCCTGCCTGCCAAGTGAGATTTCGGAGAGCGAATTTAACTCTTGCCTCCTTCTTAGTCTCCTAGGGCTACCATAATAAATTACCACGAAGTGTGTGGTTTTAAATAACAGAAATGTATTGTTTTACAGTTCTGGAGGCTAGAAGTCCAAGTTCAGGATGTCAGCAAGGCCATGCTCTCTCCCTGTCAGCTCTAGGGGAACATCCTTCCTTGTCTCCTTCAGTTTCTGGTAGTTTGAGGTGTTCCTTCGTTTGTAGACAGAAATGGTGTCTTCCCCCTTTGTGTGACTCTGTTTCCAGGTCTGTTCTCCCCTTTCGTAAGACACCACTCAGAGGAGATCAGGATTAGGACCCACTCTACTTCTGTATGACTTCCTTTAATTTAACTGACAACAAAAGAAAAACATTGTGTCCAAACAAGGTCATGTTCATAAGTACAGAGGTTAGGACTTGAACATATCTTTTTCGGGTGACACAGTTCAATCCTTAACACTCCCTAAGACTAGCATCAGTTACCTCTTTTGAACTTGAACATGGTAACAAAACCAGTACGTGACATGGCAGAGCATGTGGAGAGGAGTGTGGCTGATGTCTTCTCAAGGGCCCCTCAGCATCTCTCCTGGGACACCTGACCTTGTACTTACTGGTTTGTGCTGTGAGTACAAACTTGGAGGTTCTGAGGGGCAGTGACCTGGGAGTCACCTCTGGTCTTGGCACCGAGCACAGACTGTGAGGAGCCCAGGGATTGTTGAAGGAATGACTGCAGGAGGGAGGAGCAAAGGGAAGAGCCAAGTGCACCAAGTACCGGTGGCCTGGCCAGCCCTCTGTGTGCAGGGTGCCCAGCAGCTTACCAGGAGTGACTCGTGTCCCTTCTCAGTCTCTCTCTGCAGCCCTTTGTCTACCCGGTATGCACCCCTGAAGGCATTGTCTTTGACTTGCTGTGAGTATTCCCTTGCATTTTGACCTAACAAACATGGTGAGATTGTTGACACCCACGAAGGAAGAGGATGTTGGGCTAGCTGGAAGATCTGGGGCTCCAGGCAGTGCCAAAGCAGGCAGTGCTGAGGTCACCAGACCCCTGGTCCTAGCTGCCCTGGGAGCCCTGGGTGGGCCTCTTGGGGACCCAGGAGGGGCTGCCTGGACCTCAGGGACCTGGCATAAGTGCTGCTGTTACCCCTGGGCAGGCACTGTTGGCTGACAAGTGCTGCTGGTTCTGTCTGGAGTGGTGTTGACCCCACATGAGGGGGTTGTTACTCTAATGGGCCCCCTGTGCATGTATTGGGATGTTAATGAACTGAATACATTGTGCTTTATGAAGCAGAGCCATCACCAAGGTGCAGGTATTTGAAGCATTATGCCCAGGCTTATGTTCTACCATGTACCAGCTTCTGTAATTATTTTTGCCCATTTTAGAAAATTTGGAAAATACTACAAGAGGAAAGAATTTACCATAATCACATTGTCCAGGATAACCACTATTAATGTTTATATTCCTGTTTTTTATGCATTTCCTTATAGTAACACAGTTGAGATAATACTATGAAGATTGTTCTGGATCCATTTTTCACTCACTTATGACAAGAGCTTTTGCCCCAGCTCATTCAGAATTCTCTGAAAGTATAATCTTTAATGTTGGCCTAGTATTTCACTGTATGGACCAATCACATTTATTTATCCTTTTTTTATTTTATTGGCTAGTTATTTTTGTTGTTGTTGTTGTTTATACATGACTGTAGTAAAAACCCTGAGTGTGTTTTGATGCCCATTTATCCAGAATTAGTTCCCTACTTTCTTTGACAAGGAAAGGAGCTCTTCCAGTTGGCTTCTGATATCAGAAATAAAGTGGAGGGAAGCCCATTACCAGGTCTCTTACCCGGAACCAGCCCTCCAGGACTGTGGTTTTGTTCCCAAGCTGAACCTCACTGCCATGGCAATGCCTTCTGTTTTCTCATCCCCTCAGGAGCATCCTCCCTTGGCTTAAGAAGTACGGGACCAACCCCAGCAATGGAGAGGTAGGCAGCTGTGCAGGTGGAAGCACTCCAGTGCCTGCACTTGTGTTCTGGTGGTCTTTGTGTGTACACGGACAAGGTGGAGAACCATCCATGGGGCACAGCGAGGAGGGATTCTCCCTTCCCTCCCACCCGACACACCCATTCCTTTCTAGAACTGTTCCCTGCATGTGCACACCTAAGCATGTGTATGTGTCTTTTCTTCTTGGGCCACAGATACGCTGCATGAATCCCGTTGTACCTTGCTTTGCACACACAGGGCTCTGTGCAGGCTTGTGCGTGAAGTGCTGCCCTGCTTTCTGAGGCTGCACAGCATTGCTCTGTATGGGGTCCCATAGCGAATCTAAGTTATTTGCTGTTAGCAGCGGGGTGCAGGGATATCCTGCGCACGTTCCCTTGGGCACTTGTGTGAATATCCTGGTCACGGAGGGAGTGCATTTGTAGTTTTGGGAGCTGTTGGCAAATTGCTCTCCTAAGTTCATTTTAAACTCCTACTAGAAGCAAAGGGACGAAAAAGCCTGTTTCCCCGTGCCCTCCACAGCATTGTATGCCATCTGTTTTTTATTTTTTAATTTTTTTTTAGTTCTGCTGATCTTATGGCAAAAAATCATTTTAATTTGTATTTTTATCATGTTAGGTTAAGCAGCTTTTTACTGATATGCACTGATAGCCAGATAGCTGCCATCAAGTCATCTCCAACTCACAGCAGCCTTATGGACAACAGAATGAGATGTTGTCTGGTCCTGTGTAACCCTTATGACCACTGGCATGTTTGAGTCCATCACTGTGGCTGTTGGTGCCAATCCATTTCACCAATGGTCTCCCTCGCCCTCACTGGCCCTTTGTGAGGGCCACTCACACTGGTGTGTGAGGCTGAGAGAACAGTGTGATAAAAGTCTGTGTCTGTCTGGACAGTGTGGGGTGCAGGGTGAGGTTCTGAGGGGTGGCCAGAGTGAGACCGGGGCTGGGCCAAGGGGCTTAGGGCTGTGTCTGCCAGGGTCAGGAGCCTGGCCTGGCTTGACCTTGAAGACAGCGAGCTGGGTGTGGCGTGGTCAGCCCTTTGACTGAGAGCACTCCGTAGAGGCCTTTTGGAGAGGCAGACTGGTTTGGAGGCTTGTGGCAGTGACAGGGCACAAAGTGACCCGGGCTGTGATGCTCAAGCGGGAGGAGCGGGTGGCGAGTGGACAAGCATAGTGCCCTGGCTGCCAGTACAGGGTGGGGAAATGCCGTTGGTTTAGTCTTTGTTTAGTGTGTGCTTTTGACACAGTGGCTGCAGCAATGAGCTCAAGCATGATAAGGATTGTGAGGATGGCGCAGGACCAGGCAGTGTTTCATTCTGTTCGTAGGGTCGCTATGAGTCGCAACTGACTCGACAGCACCTAACAACAACAACTTGCTGTTTATTTTAGTAAACAGATTCATTCACAACTTTTGTCCCTCCCCACAAGACCTGAAGTTCCTTGGCCATCAACGCTGCCACCCTTCAGGGGTCTCGGACCCAACTCTGAGCAGAGCGGGGACCACCTGTATTTTACCCAGTTGCTTTGCCCTCTCTGTTGGATTTATTTGTACTTACCCCTCCACCTCTTTTTTTTTTAACCATCTCTTTTTTTTTTTTGACTTGGGGCAAACTGTGATAATGAGAGTGCTGGGGTCCTGGGCAGCCCACCCACAGTGCCATGGCTGTGAGCTACTGAGGCTGGAGGCCTGTCCACAGCCCTTGTCATGTGCTAGGCAGGTGTAGGATTTTGTGCATGTTTTTCAGATTGGGAGGGTGGTTCACCAGTTTTGTTTTCCCTGCTCTTTGAGGAAAAGACAAACTTGGCGAGGAGCTGGGTCGTGGCAAGTGTTCTTAGATCAGCCGCAGTCTATTGGCTTTTCTCCCCGATGTTTGTCATGGCCATCTGTGGCCTTGCCTCCCTAAGGAGAGCACCCTCCTTTGGTTGTCTGCTGTATCCTTCCTGTCCCTGTTGAGTGAATGTGTGACCAGCAGTGTTCTTAGTGAGGTTTGCTCTTGGGAGCCACTGTCAAGGTCCTGGCCTCAGTCAGGGGGACGTTCTCTGTTGATTTCCTAAAGTGTGGGCTCTGTGCCACTGGCCCGTCCCCTGTGTAGTTGGCTCTCTGCATCTGAGTTCTAGGCGTGTGTCTTCCCTGGCCTCGTGGCACGTCAGTGGAGCCGCCCAGGTGTTGAGCGGGAGTTCTCTGATGTTGAGGCTCTGCTCTTGGCTTTGTCGGTGGTGGCTTTCATTCCCTGCTGTCTGCCTTTGAGGCACCCCCTCTTGTTTTCTTGTCCACATCTGTCATGTGCCCTTGTCCACACCTGTCATCTCATTTCCTAGTGGACGTCGTTCATTCGGTTGCATCTGTGGGGTTTTTGTTATTTGGGGAGCTTTGCCCTACAGGTGCTCATTGGGGCGCCTAACATGTCATGGGGCTGGCTGTGCACTGGCAGCCTTATGAGGGCAGGACCATGGTCCTGTTGTTAGGCTCATCTCACTGATGCTCAGCCATTCCCCTTTGCCTGGCTGCGCTTTCTGAGTGAGTTTCTGCAGAGGCGCCCTCAGCCAGTCCAGCAGATCTGTATTGAGTGCCTGCTGCCCCTCCTTGGCCTGATCTCACAAGGGCCTTTGTGGGGTAAAGGACCTCATTTTACCCTAAGTAAGGTGGCCTTTGTCCTTGGCTCTGGAGAAATAACCCTTGGAGTAATTGGGGTGCCTAGGTCTGGGACTTTCAGGCCACACCTGAGGATTTGTGCTGGGAATAGGGGCTGGCCAGACCAGAAAAGACTCACCTGGGAGGCCGATATGAACTAGCTCAGGAGGCAGGATTTAGCCAACCATGCAGGACTGGCCAATAAAAGCTGGAACCGTAAGGCTCAGAGAGGTTCCTGGTCGGCAAAGGAACGGTAACATTCCCTCTCCAAAACACAGCAGGTTCGCATCAGGAACCTTCCCAGACTTTGCCTGTGTGTCTCTTCCTCATGATGATCCTGATTTATATCCTTTTACTGTAATAAAACCCAACCAAACCCACTGCCGTCCAGTTGATTCCGACTCGTAGCGACCCCATAGGGTTTCCAAGACTGTAAATCTCTATAGAAGCAGATCGCCACATCTTTCTCCCATGGAGCCTCTAGGTGGTTTTGAACTGCTGACCTTTCAGATTAGTAGTCAACCAATAGCTTTAACCACTGCACCGCCAGGGCTCTTTGTAATGAAACCAGTAGTCATAAATTTATCTTCTGTGAGTTTTGTAATCCAGTGAATTAATGAACCCAAGGATGGTGTCCTCTTAACTTGTAAGCTCTGCCCTAGCCCTGGGTGGCCCGGGTCAGAGAGAGAGTATGGTCCATGGGCAGCCAGCATGGAAGATGATGAAGTTGGAAGGTGGGGACTGGATCAATCTCCACATTCTGGAGACTGGGTTATGCTGATTCTTATCCATGAAGCTGTCATCGTAGCCTTGCTGAGGGCTCACTTGGCGGATGTTTGGGCTCAGTAGAGCCCCTCTCACTGCCTGTTGAGGCAGGTCCTGGCGGTATTGGCTGCCATGAGCCCCGAGGCCTGGGCTGGCTGGCCCTGTGCCCCTTCTCGGGGACCAGGAGGAGTGTGGTGTGTAGGTCTCTGGGTCAGGCCACATGCTTGGGTGCCTGAGCTTGAAAGAGAAGACTCTCTGGTGAGAGCAGCCTTGAGGGCAGGGACCCTGCTGGACCATCCTGTGGTCTCATCTGATCCTTGCCTGTACTGATGTGTGTGTGTTTGGGGTCGTGGTGGTGGTAACTGAAATGCAGTCAGCTGTGGAGGAGCAGATGTGGCCAGTCAGGGCCTGCCCTGCAGGGAGGGGCCTCATGTGGGGCTCGGGCACGAGGACCATGGAGCTGAGGCTTGGGCCGGAGGTCTGGGAGAGGAAGGCTCAGGCCTGGTATGTTCCCTTCCCTACACCCACCCCACACTAGGAGGTCCAGGGTTAAAGGTTATGCCAGCCAGGGGCTGCAGAGGTGTGGGCTTGAGTCAGGGGCTGACAGCACTCAGGGATCCCTCCCCTATCTCAGACCTCTCGTAGCCCACCCTCACCACCTCCACCACGGCAGGGTGCTTTCCTTTGGCCACCATGACTGTGTTAACATACGGGACGCTTTCCCGTAGGGGGTTGCAGATGTATTACAGAAACTGACAGAGGCTCCCACCTTCCCATTGCCATACACAACTGCTCAGCATGTTGGTGGTATATTTATTCTTTTTTCCCACTTTTTAATGTTTTCTTTTCCCCAAGTATTTGTACAGCAGAATAAGATGGACACTCATGTACCCACTACCCTGCTTGAGAAATACATTGGTTTTTTAATTTCAGAAGTAATTGGTGCTCACCACGGAAAAGTTTAGACTTTGCAGAGTATAAAACAGCCCTCTTCCCTGCAGCCTCACCCTCCAGCCCAGAGGCACCCCCGGTAACAGAGCTGGCGCCTGTGTTTATAAACCTGTCCTCTCTTAGAGCAGGGTGGTGCGTAACCAAGCCCTCCTGCGTGCACTGGTCTGTGGCCGCCCTTATCCTGGCTAGCACTGTGCCTGGGGCTTCCCAGGGCAGCACCTGCAACTCCTCCCGTTTGTAGCTGTAAAGGGCTAGATGTCCAGAGAATTTTTGAGTCTCTCTTTTTCGCTCAGCTTTATAGGCTTGGCATTTCTTCACATCAGTCACTTATTTGTTATTATTATTTATATTATTTACGTTAATTATCATTAATTCATATTATACTGTTCAATATTATTAACTCTTGCTTCTTCTTCCAGAAACTAGATGGGAGGTCCCTGATTAAGCTAAATTTTGCAAAGAACAATGAAGGTGAGTAGTCACTTGTGGTAGTTACCTAGTGCTGCTGCGGCCAGGAGGAGTGTGTAGTGTGTGGGTCTCTGGGTCAGGCCACATGCTTGGGTGCAAGGAGCCCTGGTGGTGCAGAATACCACAAGTGGGTGGCTTTGAAGGACAGAAATGTACTTTCTCAGTTCAGGAAGCTAAAAGTCCGAATTCAGGGTGCTGGCTCTAGGGGAAGGCTCTCTGTTTCTGTCACCTCTGGGGGAAGATCTTGTCTCTTTCTGCTGCTTTTCCTCAGTTCCCTGGCAATCCCCACATGGCATCTTCTCCTGTCTGTTTGTATTGTTTATGCTGTCCTTATAACTCAGGAGTGATTAGGTTTAAGACATACCCTACACTAACATGGCCTCATTAACATAACAAAGAAAACCCTATTCCAAACAGATTGCATCCATGGGTACAGAGGTCAGGATTCCAACACATACTTGAGGGGACATGGTTCAACCACAGTGTCACTTGCATAGCCAACTTAAGGATTCGCCCGTAGAATCCAAGGCCCCTTGCTCCCCATGTTCTTGTATGGAGTTGGTCATTCTTTTCTGATCAGGCTGGGTACTTACTTTTAGTTTCTCAAAAAAAAAAGGTAACGTGATTTTTTCCTAAAGGTCCAGGTAATTTAAAGCCAGGGCAAGTCCGAGGGAACCCTCGGGTGCTGGGGGCTTCTTGTGTCGCACCCTTTGTGGGCACAGTTGGGCTGTGTGGGTCACAGGCCACATCTAGGCAGAGGTTATGGTCTGTTCATCACCGGAGGCTAAAGCTGCTCTGGCTGAGTCGCACAGGCCCGGGGAGGTGGCCAGGCAGTGGGTAGGTGATCTGGACAGATTTGCCAAGAAGCCTTTGGGCTGGGCTTCTCTCAACCATTGGTCATCAACCCTAGCCCTTTCCTGGGGTTCCCATGTTTTATATCCCCTACATGCCCCCGCTGGTCTTGATGGTTAGCTGCTTGAGCTGCCCTGAGCCCTGGTCTTGTTCCAGGTTCTCTGTGGCCTTGCCCATGCAGATGCTCATGGTTAGGAGGCTGGCTGTGCTCCCTGGTGGTGAGTGTTGCGGGGAGATGTCAAAGCACTGAGGCCGGGCCATATCTGACTTCAGCCTCAGGAGGCGCAGGGTGAAGGAACGTGTGAGCTTTGGTGACAAAGAAACTTCATATGCCTTCTTTCCTCCTCGGTAATCAGTAGTCTCAGGAGGGCCACGGACCGTGTCTCCTTCAGCAAATAGTTACTGAGTGCTACCATGTGTAGAGAGCAAGACAGACAGTTTCTCCCCCTGCAAGGATCCTGCATTCTGGTGTAGGGGTGGGGGGAACCAGAAGACAGCTCACAGTGATATATCAGGTGCTGACTCTGCCAGGGACAAAAGGAAAGCAGGACAAGGGCAGAGAGGGCCCTAGGAGGACTTGCTGACAAGGCAGCAGTGGAACAAAAATCTGACAGGGGAGGAAGTGGGGGTGTGGCCATCTGGGGGAAGAGCGTTCTGGGCCAAGGAAACGGCCCATGCAAAGGCCCTAGGGTGGTGTGCTCTGGAAGGGGTCTGGGCACAGCCGGAGTCCAGCGTTCTAGAACAGCGTGTGTGAGGGGCAGAAGCAGGGAATGCAGTTAGAGAGGTCAGGGTGGGATGGGGAACACAGCAGTCCTATAGAGCCTGGGGGGCCACATGAGGGGCCACTGAGAGGAGAGGCAAGAGCTGACTCGACTTTTTGTTTTTTATGACTTTGACCTAGCAGTCACCCTTTTTGCTTTGTTCTGTTTTTAATTGAAAATTTCAGATACATAAAGTAGAGAAAAATAGCATAATGCCCCCTCATGTATCCATCATCCAGCCTCGTGGCCTGTCTTGTTTGTACACCCACTCAGCATCCCGCTAGATGACTCTGAAGCAATCCCAGATGTCGTATCAGTTCACGCTTAGATACTTCATTAGGTATCTCTAAAACATACCTGTACCAGTGGCTGTCGAGTCAGCTGCAGCTCATAGCGACCCCTTGTGTGTCAGAGTAGAACTGTGCTCCACTGGGTTTTCATTGGCTGATTTTTCAGAAGTAGATCACCAGGCCTTTCTTCCGAGGCACCTCTGGGTGGACTTGAACCACCAACCTTTTGGTTAACAGCTGAGAGCATTGACTCTTTGCACCACCTGGGGACTCCAAAGATAAAGACTTAAAAATTCACAATATCATTGTTATACCTAAAAAAATTAACAGGAGTTCCTTACTATCATTAATTATTCAATCAGTGTTCAAATTTCTTTTTTTTTTTTTAAGTGCTCTTTTTTTTTTTAATTTTTACCATACAAAAATTTATACGTACATTGTTATGTGACTCTAATTGCTCTCCCCATACTGTGACAGCACACTCTTCCTTTCCACCCCTGATTCCCCATGTCCGTTCAACCAGCTCTTAACCCTCTCTGCCTTCCCAACTCACCTCCGGACAGAAGCTGCCCGTTTAGTCTCTTGTATCTACTTGAGCTAAGAGGTACACTCCTCACGAGTATCACTTTATGTCCCACAGTCCAGACCAATCCCTGTCTGAAGAGTTGGCCTTGGAAATTATTTTATTTCTGGGCTGATAGAGAATCCAGGGGCTATGCTTTCTGGGGTTCCTCCAGTCTCAGACCATTAAGTCTGGTCTTCTTACTAGAATTTGAGTTCTGCACCCCACCTTTCTCCTCCATCAGGGACTCTGTTGTGTTCCTTGTCAGGGTGATCATTGGTGGAAGCCATACACCATCTAGTTCTTCTGGTCTCAGGCTGATGAAGTCTCTGCTTTGTGTGGCCCTTTCTGTCTCTTGGGCTAATACTTTCCTTGCGTCTTTGGTGTTCTTCATTCTCCTTTACTCCAGGTGGTTTGAGACCAATTGATGCGTCTTAGATGGCCACTTGCAAGCTTGTAAGACCCCAGACGCCACTCACCAAAGTGGGATGCAGAACATTTTCTTAATAAGCTTTGTTATACCAGTTGACCTAGATGTCCCCTGAAGGCATGGTCCCCAGACCTCTACCCCTGCTACTCTGTCCCTCGAAGTGTTTGACTGTATTCAGGAAACTTCTTAGCTTTGGTTTAGTCCAGTTGTGCTGACTTCCCCTGTAGTGTGTGCTGTCCTTTCCTTCACCTAAGATAATTCTTATCTACTATCTAGTTAGTAAATAACCCTCACCCTCCCTTCCCACTCTCGTAACCATCAAATAATGTTTTTTTCTGTGTTTAAACCTTTTCTAGAGTTCTTATAATAGTGGTCTTATACAGTATTTGTCTTTCTGTGACTGACTAAATTCACTCAGCATAATGACCTCCAGTTTCCTCCGTGTTATGTTTCATGGCTTCATTGTTGTTCTTTATCGTTGCCTAGTATTCCACTGTGTGGATATACCATAATTTGTTTATCCATTCTTCTGTTGATGGGCACCTAGGTTGTTTCCATCTTTAGCTATTGTGAACAGTGCTGCAGTGAACATGGGAGTGCATGTATCTATTCATGTGACGGCTCTTCTCTAGGATATATTCCAAGGAGTGGGATAGCTGGATTGTATGCTACTTCTATTTCTAGCTTTTTAAGGAAGCACCAAATTGATTTCCAAACTGGTTGTACCATTTTACATTCCCACCAACAGTGTATAAGTGTTCCAGTCTCTCCACAACTTCT